ATCTAATTTGTGATTAAACGTATTAATTCCTGAGTTTAAGTTGATCTAATCAAGAACAGAGAAAAAAAAAGGATCTGATTTTAAGTTGTTGTAAATTGTAAATGCAGGTCTCTGGGAGTGGCGCTACCGGATTTGAAGCATTTGACAGAAGCCTCAGTCGCAGCTTCGCGAATATTCGATAGGATCGATCGGAGTCCATTAATCGATGGAGAGGAGGCGAAAGGGCTTGTTCTTGACAATCTCCAAGGCCAAATCGAATTCCATCGCGTCACATTCTCCTATCCTTCGCGCCCCGATTCCTTCGTCCTCAAGGATTTCAGCCTCAAAATCGATGCCGGAAAAACCCTCGCCCTCGTCGGCGCCAGCGGCAGCGGCAAGTCCACCGCCGTCGCCCTTCTGCAACGGTTCTACGATGCCGACGACGGGGTTCTCAAGATCGACGGCGTCGATATCAGGGCGCTACGGCTCAAATGGATTAGGGCGAAGATGGGCCTCGTCAGCCAAGACCACGCGCTGTTTGGAACTTCCATTAAGGAGAATATTTTGTTTGGGAAGCTCGATGCTTCCATGGACCACATTGTGGCTGCCTCCATGGCTGCCAATGCTCATAATTTCATTACCCACCTTCCTCAAGGATATGAGACCAAGGTTCGTAATTTTGCTAACTTCCTAAAGTTTTTTTATTTATTTTGAAGTTTTTGTCATAGTTTAATGTGACACTAATTGGTACGTGGAGGCTACAATATTTTAACCGGTTGAGATATGTTCAAATTCAAATGGATGGACTCTGTATAAAATTAGTTTGCTACATAACCATCAAATAATGCATTTAGTGTTTCATGTCACTGTTAAACAGATTAGCAATAGAACCTGTTAGATAAAATTAGATGTTTATTCAAGTAATAGAAAATTACTTTAGACGTGTCTTGCAGAGTTGTTTCATAACTATCTTTTTTTTTTATACTTTCTGTTTTTTAAAATTAAATTCGTAGATACTACTTTCAACTATGTATTTCTTTCTTTTTGCATGTACGTTTTTTAAATCTAAGGCAAATGGTAAGAACTAAAAAAAATAGTTTTCAAAAGTTCTTTTTGTTTTTGGCCCAATGGCACCCGTTCAGATTCGCTTGGAGGTCTCAAGTTCGAATCTTTCAGTTTAATATAAAAAATCCTTGATATCTTCTAGGCCCAAGCCTTGGGGTGGGTGTGGGTATCCTTGGGTATTGCTCTGACTCCCTACTATTTGAAAAAATAATAAAAAAAAAAAATTTCTTTTTGTTTTCGAAATTGACTAAGAATTTAAAATGGGAAAAGATTGCAAAAAATTATGAGCACGTGAAAACTAAAAACGAAATAGTCATGGGCCTCAGGGAATCAATTTTGTAATAGTAAATTTTTCGGATTAGTTGGGGAGAGAATAATGCATTTTGGTGTACGTATGTGTAATCCAGGTTGGGGAAAGAGGCGCACTTCTATCCGGTGGGCAAAAGCAGCGAATTGCCATAGCCAGAGCAATAATTAAGAATCCTGTAATTCTCCTGCTTGATGAAGCAACTAGTGCTCTTGACTCTGAATCTGAAGCATTGGTCCAAAATGCACTTGATCAGGCTTCCATGGGAAGAACCACTCTGGTAACCCAACTTCCCCTACTCACAGTTTCACTTCCTTTCCAATATGATTGTTATTAATAAATAACATGAATCTCGAGGTTTCTAAACTTTCAAAATGTATGTAATAATTAAGTCTTTATAATAGGTCTATGAACTTCTAAATTTGTGTTTAATTACTTAAGTAGAAAACTAACTATATTGTTTAAAGTTTACATGACGAGTTGATTTAGATAGATTGACAAAATTTAAAATTTAGAGATCTATTAGAAACTTTTTAGAGTTGGGAGACCTTGATATACACAAGTTTTGAAAGTATAGGGATTTAGTAGACACACCTTTTGAAAGTTGAGTACAAAAACTTTGAGATAAACTTCAGGTTCCTTTCTTTGATTAATGTTCAGGTAGTTGCACATAAGCTCTCCACAATCAGAAATGCAGACCTTATAGCTGTTGTAAATGGTGGTTGTATAGTTGAAATTGGTTCCCACAATGAACTCATCAACCGAAAAAACGGTCACTATGCAAAACTAGCAAAACTGCAAAGACTATCAAGCCAAGATGATGTGGAACAAAACGTAGAAATACATACCTCTTCAGTTGGAAGAAGCAGTGCCAAATCAAGCCCAGCAGTCTTTGCAAAGTCCCCACTGACTATAGAAACCCCTCAATTAACTTCTCCCAATCCCCCTTCCTTTACTCGTCTGCTATCTCTGAACTCTCCAGAATGGAAGCAAGCTCTCACTGGAAGCTTTTCAGCCATAGCCTTTGGAGCAGTACAGCCTATATATGCACTTACCATAGGAGGAATGATATCTGCTTTCTTTGCTCAAAGCCATTACGAAATGCAAGCTAGAATCAGGACGTATTCCTTGATATTCTGCTCACTCACTCTGATTTCCATCGTTCTGAACCTTGTTCAACATTACAATTTTGCGTATATGGGCGAGCAGTTGGCAAAGAGAATCCGCTTGAGAACTCTTGAGAAGATCTTGACGTTTGAGATAGGTTGGTTCGACAAGGAGCAGAATTCCAGTGGAGCTCTGTGCTCAAGATTGAGCAATGAGGCTTATTTGGTGAAGTCTCTTGTAGCAGATAGAGTTTCTCTATTGGTTCAAACCACTTCAGCTGTGACCATAGCAATGATTCTTGGTCTGGCTGTGGCCTGGAAGCTTGCCATTGTTATGATAGCCGTCCAGCCACTCACAATTCTCTGCTTCTACACAAGGAAAGTCCTCCTCTCAAGCATTTCCGCAAACTTCGTCAAGGCACAGAACCAAAGCACACAAATTGCTGTGGAAGCAGTGTATAACCACAGAATAGTAACATCCTTTAGCTGCATTGGGAAAGTGCTCCAAATTTTTGACGAAGCTCAGGAGGCACCAAGAAAGGAGGCTAGGAAGAAATCATGGTTTGCTGGGATTGGGATGGGGTCTGCTCAGTGCCTAACGTTCATGTCATGGGCTTTGGATTTCTGGTTTGGTGGAACCCTTGTGGAGAAAGGCCAGATATCTGCAGGGGATGTGTTCAAGACATTTTTCATCTTGGTAAGCACCGGCAAGGTCATAGCCGAGGCCGGGAGCATGACGACGGATTTAGCCAAGGGCTCAGCAGCCGTGGCGTCGGTGTTCGAGATTCTAGACCGGAAATCACTCATTTCCTGCCCATCAAAGGTAAGCAAACACCCAGTTAAGTTCAGTTAATAAATTTGAAAAGTAGAGATTGAAGGAACTAAATGTTGTTTTGATTTGGTAGGATGGGAGAGGGAGGAAGTTGGAGAAGATAAGGGGGGATATAGAGATGAAGAAGGTGGATTTCTGGTATCCAAGTAGGCCAAATAACATGGTGCTGCGCCAATTCAGCTTGGAAGTGAAGTCAGGGATGAGCGTGGGGCTAGTTGGCAGAAGTGGGTGTGGAAAATCAACGGTGATTGGGCTGATTCTGAGGTTCTACGATGTGGGGAAGGGATGGGTAAGGGTGGATGGTGTGGATATCAGAGAGCTGGATCTTCAATGCTATAGGAAGCACGTGGCACTCGTCAGCCAAGAGCCAGTCATTTATTCTGGGACTATACGCGACAATATCCTCTTTGGGAAGCTCGACGCCTCCGAGAATGAGCTTGTCGACGCTGCCAGAGCTGCCAATGCCCATGAATTTATCTCGTAAGTTTCCTACCTTCTCTTTTCATAATCATTTCCGCAATTTTCATACTGTCTTGCCTTGCTATCTTTTTATTATTCAGCCTCTAGTCTTGTCATTTTCATTTTAATGGCTCTATCGTTTAAATTTTGGTTAAAAACTTAAAAAGTTGAAACATAAATTCTAAAACTTAATAGCTCAACCTTTAGTTTCTATAGTTAAAAGTTTGTAATGATTGAATCATTGAACCTCAATGTGTAATATTTTAAAGAAAAAGGGGGAAAAAAGTTTGATTTCATGTAGTTTAAAATTTGTAATGGTTTAGAAATAGAGGTTGGATCACACATGTACAAAAATAAAGAGATTTATAAATATAATCTCTACCACAAAAGCAATAGCTTGAATAGGATGTATGGACAGAGAAAGCATGTCAGATTGCATTTTTATTTACTTGAAAACAGAAGTGATAACTTGAATCTGGACAAATGAAAAAGTCCTCCCAGCTTTTTGGTTCCCTTAGAGAAGAAATATATTTGAATTGTGTCGAATTTGGAGCTCGACATCTGTCTCCCTATGTCATAAATAGATAATGTCTATTCTAGTATGGATTCACAATAAAACAAATATTATTGAAACTATCGAATCTTTTAGCTGAAAAAAGATTTCAATAATTTCACAAATAGGCGTCTTAAATGAAACGCTTTGTGAGAGGCTGAAAATTGTGGAAATTTTAAAGCCGAAGAGCAGTACATAAGTGAATAGGTAGAAAATAGAAATGCAATTTTATACGGCAGCAATATGGTGAGCCCAAGTTCTAAATCTATTTTATTTGGGGGTGGCTGGTGGTTGTGTTGTAGGTCTTTGAAAGATGGGTACGAGACAGAATGTGGGGAAAGAGGAGTGCAACTCTCAGGAGGACAGAAACAAAGAGTAGCAATAGCCAGAGCCATAATTCGAAACCCAACAATTCTGTTGCTGGATGAAGCAACCAGTGCTCTGGATGTTCAATCAGAGCAGGTTGTGCAACAGGCACTGGATCGAATTATGGTAGGAAGAACCACCCTCGTCGTAGCTCACCGCTTGAACACCATCAAGAAGCTCGATTCCATCGCTTTTGTTGCGGATGGAAAGGTGGTAGAGCAAGGATCCTACGCTCAGCTCAAGAATCAAAGGGGTGCTTTCTTTAATCTTGCTAACCTCCAAATTCAGCCCTGACCCTCTCTCTAGAGTTGTGAATTGGCCTTTAGGAGGCGAGTGAGGCAATAGGAATGAGGAATTAGGATGTATGAGCTAGATTGACCGACATTGATCTTCTAATGTAATGTGTTATCCAAATTTCTGACGTGCTCTAGAAGGTAAAAAGAGGGTAGGGGCACTACAAAGAGTATTACATTGGAATTTTATTAAATATCGGTATGGTCAAGATGTACTATTATTAGTCTTGTGCCCAAGCATGTTCTCTTCATCTTGATAATCTTCAGGGGCTTATGCTCAAGATACGGTCTCTAGTCTCTAACTATTGAAAGAAAAGAAAATAGAAATCAATTCAAATTGATACGAAGTTTTACAGAGAGCACAATTTTTCTCTGACAAAGCAAAGCAGAAATTTTCATTTTTGATAGTGGGCTCTGTACATGTTTTCGGATGCAGAGTGGTGAGAACAGTGACAGAAACAAAGAAGGGGAATGCTATCTATTAGTTATGGAAGAGAACAGGGTGGAGCAATTAGAACCTTGCCTTCCAGACATCAAGATTTTTAGAACAGTCCCGCTCGTTCTGTCATTGCCTCTGTGGGTTTGCTTTTCTTGCTTTCAGATCGATGACAATAACAGAGATGTTATCGGAACTGTTTCTTCCATATGCTATTTCAGTGAGATTATTGGCGACAATTTGCGCCGGAGGAGTGTCATCAGTTGGCGACGACCTGCGCAGCCGCCTAAGAAGATGGCAAGCCACCTGCCCAACCTCTTCATTGGTCATTACATCCCAAAGCCCATCACTCGCCACAACCACACATTCATCCTCATCACTCCTCGTCGTGAAACTAATTTCAGGCACCGGAATTATCCACGGCCGTAAATACCGATCCCCTGAACATCCATACACAGAGAACCAATTGTCAAGCTCAGAGGAAATGACGCGTGCATATACAAATTATCATCTTCCAACAATTCAGGATTAATTATGGAAGAACACTTTGAGTGGAGATAAGGGTGGAGATCACTAGATCCCAATTTCCATCAAATCTCACTCTCATCATTACTTCTTTTCTATTATCAACAGTAGAAATGGAAATGGTTGGGGGACACTCTACAAGGAGAGGCCCACAAGCCATGCGAGCATGGCTATACTCACAGTGGAATAGTCTTCAAAATTGAAAAATCATCCAAGTAGAGACACGTATATTTCTGATAGACATAGTTCTGATTAATAAAGAATCAAAATTAAGGTAACATTCAGAGAGATGAGAGAGAGAGAGAGAGAGAGGAGGAAACCTATGGCTCTTGACATGGCAAGAACTCCCAGCACTCTAGCACCCATCCAGTTTATGACTTTGCCTCCCTCTCTTTCAATTCTCATGAGTTCGTCCTGTCTGTCAGGCTGTAACACGATCAATAAAACAAATGCTCCCCCTTTAACAATGTCTCTAAAGTATTGCTCGAAAATTCTACCGGAAAGATTACAATGGTTTGTAAAACAAGTGGTCACCTTTTGATCGACTGTCAATGGGATGGCTTTAGTCCGCTGGCAAAGAACCGCTCTAGAGTCGCCGCAATTGGATGTAATAATCTGGCAGCCAGATAGAACGACTACAACCGCCGTGGATCCAACCATGTCGGTTGCAACCGCCTCTGAGACCACCTCATTATCAGTCCTCTGGAAGCCATTAGAGAAGGCAACTTCCCATCTCTTCTGCCATTCATGACCGTTGATTCCTTCTCTCCCCCACTCTTCCGCTATCACTTCATGCATTCGCTCCGCACAGAATTTGGCCACCTATATATATTGTTAAAGTTTCGACTGAAATCGTTAGTTGTGTGTCGGATATCTGAAAATATGATATATCCGACGAAGCCACGCCGGAGGATATCAGTACCAGTCTTAAATCAACAGAATTAATATGCTGTAGAGCTCCTGGTTAAATTAATACACCAGCATCCAAAAAAGCAGCACACCCAGTTAATTAAAAAGAACCCAAACTATCCATTCTGTCATGTTTAAGTTCAATATACCATATAAATAGAAATCTGTGGCATCAATTATTCAAATAAAACATAGATCTAAAATTTCCACTTCCCAAAGAGTCCAAAGATCATAAATATTGGTGGAAATCTCGCTCACAGATCATGATTCTTGGGCGCTAGAGATTTATTTTTTATTGTGGATATTATTATATATTCTAATAAAAATTTTAAAAAAAAAAAAAGAAAAAGAAAAATACTTTGCTCCTCCTGATCATTAAATCTTGAGAATTAAGAGAGAGAGAGAGAGAGAAAAAGAGGGCTTCAATGACACGCGTTTATAAAACCTTTTCTCAATTTAACAATGTAATTTGGTTTTTGTTAGCTTACAACTACAATTTTATTTGAAAAATAGTGTAAACCGACAGAAAATTCCCACATGAGGTCAATGATAACATGAAAAGAAACGAATGTGTGCTTGCTCCTAATTAGACGCGCCGTTCACTGAATCAGGAAAAAAATACAAACGAGACCCCCCGATAAAGCAATTGGATATCGTGCGAGTTTCTGAAAATTTGTGATCTATTATCAATAAAAAATATTTTAAATGATTAAACCAGTTTCCCCGTGATTAAACACGTCGGATAATATAAGACTCCCGTTTTCGTCACCCGAAAATCCATTATTACGTCATCATAAATTTTAAATCCCAGTTATCTTCATCCGCCCGGCATTAAATAGAGCATTTTTCCCCATACCTAACCTCGAAGCCGATTGAAGCGAACAAAAAAAGAGGGCTTCAATGACACGTGTCCTTATACTAAAATGGGAACCTCCAAAATTCTTTCGTCCGGGGACCATTCATTCGGTGACATGTGTCGTTCCTTAGTGGAAAAAGCAATTATTAGTTTAGAAAAAAAATATATAATTGTAATAGGTAATGGTGCGTCAACATAAAATATTTTTCTAAAACTGGTTATCTGCTAATTATTTTGGGAGATTCTCTCCAAAAAGAAAAAAAAAATTAAAAAGAAATTATAGTTCTTTCTAGCTGTTTCTCGTGAAGCCTGAGCCATCTAATGCTTGAAGGTCAACCTAAAATTAGCCCTAATTTCACTTTGAAATGAGAAATGCACAATTCAATTTGTGAGGCGCACCTGAGAGCCGCCGTGACCATCGTAGACGCCGAAGAAATGAAGAGGCGAGATCTCACCGGAGGTTCTGGAACCTTGAGCCGTACAACCTCCGACTTGATCGCATCTGGTAGACATGAATCCCGGCTTAACGGCGATTGCGTCCTCCATCTCCCTCCGCCGTCCGATAACCGAAGTGAGCCCCCACTGCACTCCCGCTCTATTGTTTCTCCCGACGCACTTCCGTCTGGCCGCCGCTTCCGACACCGTCAACGTCATCGTCGTCGTCGGCGGCTCATCTACAACACTCGCTATCATCGTCTCCACCGCCTCCGCCGCAATAACAGCAGGAATCTCCCCGGAACTACTGCTGGTGACGCAGATGTCGCCGGAACTTGAGGAGCTTCTGAAATCATCGCTACTGAGTACGGATGACAAACCGGAAGTGGTGGAGGCGGAGTCCAGGTCGTGGAGAGAATCGACCCGGTCGAGTTGCTTCTCGTCGTCGATGGCGTCCATGGCCGGCCCCCTTCCCTCCGGCTTCTTTTGTTCTTCACCTAAAAAAATGGGGGAGTGCGAAAGAGGAGAATGAAAGGAAGCGGAAGGGGAGAGATAAAAAAAATAATAAAAAAAAAGAAGAAAAATGGACAGCTAGAATATCGACACGTGTGAGTAGATATATAGGTAGAAGGCACACGCATTCTAAGAGGGAAAGGAAAAGGCGATTGTAGTCTTAGCTTTTGGCTTCCCACGGCCACGTGTCCTTCACTGGCCCGATACCGACTTCTCAATTCTCATTGGACGCGGAATTTATTCTCTACTCCGCAACCACACTGCACTCGCAATCATCCATCGGATCCAACGGCCGTCCACGGTCACTGCAACTGCAAGGTGGCACCGGCACGTCAGAAGGTCGGTGTGGGACCCAATTGTTTCTTTTTTCTGTTGGGGCCCACGGGCCAGTACAGTTTCGGAGTCATACGAATGAGCTGTCAAAGATGGATAAAAATTAAGCTACTTTTGTTATAACATTGACAAAAGGAAATAAAAACGATTCTTAAAGGTCAAATTTAATTGCTAATAAAAGCTCCATCAAACTAGCATTGATTGCAAGGGATTCTGACACGTTTTTTTTATAAATCCGACGGCTGTGATTCCTTCGGGCGTGTGGATGGATGATGGAGGGTGCTACACGTCATTGAGATGGGCAGCTGGCTGACTAAAAACCCCATGATAATCAAAGTCTTGTCAGTGGGACCCATCTGACGTCGCATCAACGGTACCTGTACTTTCATTGCACTCATCAGACGGCATTGGATGAATGTGAGTGATTGAAAGGTAACACGTGGAAGGTAAACCATGAACAAAATTCAACACATAATCATATGACTCATTTGGTCTAGATATATAATTGAATGGGTTAAGATATATGTTAGGATTAAAAGGTAGAAATTTTGAATAGGATAATTTTTAAAAAGATAATACGGTAAAACTATTTAGCAGAAAATGTGTTTCTTTAAGAGATATTCGAAACTTCTCTAATGGTAAAAACAAGTTGTTAACACCTGGTTTCATTATTTTTTAAATTTACTTGAATTATCTTTCAAAAAGTAACATTCAAGTCACCTATTTTTTGTGTAATGTGGAAGATAAATGATATACAAAATTTTTATTATTGAGATATATGGTTCTATTGGTAAATGTATATGTATTCTCAATTAAAAGGTAGGAAATTTGAATATTCACCCCATTAGATTATTAAACTGGAAAAAAAGACGTTGGGTTATTTATTAGCAAATTAAATTTAAATTAGTCTCTCGTGGTTCTAAAATCTAAATCTAATTTTATACTCGAAATTTTTTTTTAAAAATTCAGCTTTTGATTTATTACTTTTTTTTTTGTCTTCGCTCAATTTGTGTTCTTGACACACCAAAACAATAATAACTCAGCGACAATTGGCATATATCTCCAAAATAAAGTTATGAATTCGAATCTCCAATCCTACATATTGTACGTAAAAGAAAAAAAATGATTTGTCCTCCACACTTTAAAATCTCAATTTTAACCTAAGAATGTTAGTAAACTATATATTTAGTACTTATCTAATAAATATTAAGTCTAAGACTATTTAAAATATAGTACAGTTGTATTCAATTTTTTTTATGTCACATCGTATTAGTACCTTTATGATAAGAATTTAAAATTTCTAAAAATATTTGTTTGGTTAGAATTTATAAACATTTTTCAAAGATGTCAATATCTTGTGGTACTTAAAAAAAGAAACAATTGATTGAAGTTTATAGTGCCTTTCACTTTTAACTTTTCTTTTTATTCACTTTCATTCGATGACTTTTTCTCATACACGCTTTCTCTACTCTCATAATTTCTATCATCGCACATAATTTATCTTTTTTTCTTATTTTTCTTTCACTCACTGATTTAATTTACAATTTTTTCTAGTTCAATAATGTGTAATTTCTATCTTCGCACAGAATTTATCCTCTTTATTTTTCTTTCACTCACTAATTTAATTTACAATTTTTTCTAGTTCAACACTCAACGGCTGCTAACTTACTAACTAACTTGTACATATACAAATTTTCTCTCATTAACATCTCTTTATCTCATACTTTTGTCTAGTTCTCACCAATTTCTCTTATTTTGATTTTTATGATTTTAATTGTTTCTATCTTAGTACTTATAAATTTATAAATATTTATTAAATCATAGTAATTATTGAAAAGCACGTCTAATTAAACTAAATACACTAATACAAGATGATTTATTACTCAATACCTTTTTATTAAAGTAATATCACTTTTTCTTGAAGTATTTATAATAAAAGTACTTTTTTTGTGATGTAAAACCCATTCCCAACCACGCACTATGAATGTCAATTCATACAAAAGCTTGAAAATTGGTAGGATTGAAGCACTTGAAAATTGATACAAAAACAGTTTGTTTCATTAACAAATTAAGTCCACTTCTGAAGGAAAACATTACAGCATTACAATTCAAATTTTGGAAGACTTCAAGCTCTCTCCCAGGCACACACCATACAGCATTACACAATGCTTTCATGAAAAGCTCTATAATACAAACCACAGTCGCAACTTCGCTACATTTATCGATAGGTTCGGTAGACGGGGCTGTACATGCAGCTCTCGGCATACTTCATAAGATCGGCAGGGCGCGGGAGACGGGTCGCCAAGCCTGGAGAGTACGTAAAAGGGGGGAAATTAGGATTCCACTTTAGATAAAACTATGGAGGACTCACAACTACAAGAATAGAAACATGATCCAAGAAAATGTCTCACCAAGTTCATATGCCTTGGCAGCCACGTTAGCTGCTATGTGAGCCGAGATCTTTCGGATGTTGGTGAAGGGCGGGTAGATCAATCCCTTCTCGTAGTTTTCCGCAGAGACTTGCGCAGCCAAGGCTTCCGCTGGTTCGACAAACATAGAATAAAAATCATTCCTTGTATCATCATTTAAAGGTCAAACATTGTTATTGTACAAGTCAGGGAGCCTGCTGTTTATCAACAAAAGGGTTTCAAGTTCATAGATTATGGTTTATGGTATGGTTAGTGTTTGGACTTTATATACGAGTGTATGTTATGTATGTATTGTAGTGTCATATTGCTTATTTAACAACCCTCCTACTTACAGGCAGCCAGAAGCATGTCGTCGTGCACACGGATAGCTCCAGAAATTACGACACCCAAACCAAACCCAGGGAATATGTAGGCATTGTTGGCCTGATTTAAGATTTGACAAGTTCAAGATGTCAGCTTTTGATATGTGAAAATGGAACTGAAGTGTAAAGCATCCAACATAATATGATTAAGCAGAAAAACCTGGCCAGGGACAAAGGTCTTCCCATTGTATTCGACTGGATCGAATGGACTTCCGCTAGCGAAGATTGCACGGCCCTTAAATTTGCATAAAAAAGCAAAGTAAATAGAAAATGAAGACTCGTGGAAAAAGAGAGAGAAAGAAGAACTTGCCGTCTAAAATGGAATGTTAGTTATATACCTCACTCCAATTGTAAGCCTCTTCAGCAGTGCATTCAGATTGAGACGTCGGGTTGGAAAGAGCCATAATAAGAGGTTTCTGCATAACAATACAACAAAGAAAGGTCAGTTTGCTTTCAGGGGAATACATTTTGCTCGAGTCAATCCTAATTTGAAAATTATTTCTAAACATGTATCTAATATGTATATGTGCTTATGAGTGCATCTGTGAGGGAGAAGAAAGAACCTCATTTATGGAGGACACGGCCTCAACGACTTCTTTCGTAAAAGTTCGTCCAACTCCAGATGATCCAATCAAAACTGTTGGCTTAATTGCCTGAGATAATGAGAAATAGGCAAGCGACAAGGAACCATTGTGAGATTTATGGGATGCAATTGAAACTCAAAAAGATCGAGAATGGTTCACACCTTGACAGCGCTTAACAAATCCTGAACAGGTTCATGCTCATGAGCCCATGGCTTCTTAAAGTGTTGAAGTGAATCTTTGCGGGAGTGAACAATTAATCCCTACAGAAAAGCCATTCTCTATATAGTTGAAGCAAGAAGCCAAGAACAAACAATAACTCATCAAGAAATAATTACGATTCTCTTATAAACTTGATTAAACATTCTACTACCTTCGAGTCAACAAGCCAGATCTTCTTGCGGGTCTCCTCCACTGGAACATTTGTCTAAAGAAAGGAAAAGATTATAAGAAACATAGGTTACGAAATGTGTTTGTAATCTATTTTGGCATCGCTTGACAAGTACCTTTTTTGATATTTCAAGAGCTATAAGCTCTGCTATACCAGTTCCAGCCTGTAGCCAAGCCAAGAATATGTAAGAATCATTTGAACATGAATGAGAAAAAGTGGAGTTGAAAGGAAATAATACTGTTTCGGGAAATATGACCATTTATGGAAAGGAATTTATGAAAATAAAGGGAAGAATGGAGAGATCTTACTTCCCCAGCACCAAGGAACAAGAAAGTGTGATCGGCCAAGGTACCACCAATGAGTTTCAGGGCAGAAACAGCGCCCGCAAGAACGACAGATGCTGTCCCCTGGAATCAGGAAAAGAGTATGGATAAGAAAACTTGAAAACTTACTACATGATGAGTATCAAATTTATGTTACCCTGTACCTGAATATCATCATTGAAGACTAGATGAGATGTGCGATACTTGGCCAGTAGCTCAAAAGCATTGTGGTTGGCAAAATCTTCAAACTGAAAGTTTCGGTTAGAAGCAGTGAGTACAGAAATGATTCAAGCCTCAATTACCAATAACTAGAATTATATATCAAATATCATGTTCTAACCTGAATAAGAACTTTTTCCCCATAATTCTGCTTAACAGCAGTCATAAACTCATGTAAAAGTTCATAGTACTCCTGCATAAAACATAGGCAAAATACTTGAGTTTTGTTATAAACTCACAAACTTAAAATAACTCAAATGTACTCAAACCGGCAAAAAATAAGATAAGGACACATGCTGAACCTCTCCAGTTGCCCTTCTTTGTTTAAGCCCAATGTAGAATTCATCATTCAACAATTTCTCGTTGTTTGTCCCGACATCAATCGTAATAGGCAAACACTATCAAGAAAATGTGGCATTAGTTGAATTGAAGAATGGCCTTCAGATCTTAAAACTAAGCTAGATAAAGTTTCGTGATTCCCAATGTAATGTGAGTAAAGAAAGTTTCTGCTGAAGCATCAAAATAAATTCATGACAAAAAAATAACAGGCAATTTTGTTTTTTAAATAAATCCTTACTGCTGAAGGACGAACTCCTCCAAGTGCGGTGTATAGAGAAAGTTTCCCAACTGGAATTCCCATTCCCTAAACCATCCAATAAATTCATATCAAAGTCAGTAAATATGCTAGTAAAGTAGATCAAATTCATTAAAGAATATTTCCATAGGAATTACCTGACAACCAAGATCACCAAGACCCAAAATGCGCTCACCATCGGTCACAACAATTACTTGGATACTTCTTTGGGGCCAATTCTTCAATACTTCAAGAATCTTACCCCTGCACGACGTGGCGTTAATAGATTCACAAAACCTTGAAAGTTGTAAACATATTTAGTAAGAAAGGCATCCTTACTTCTCTTTCAAACTAATGTAAAGACCCTGAGGCCGCCTGAAGATGCTTCCATACTTCTGGCAAGCTTCACCGACAGTGGGAGTATAGACAACGGGAAGCAGTTCTTCGACATTGTCAATAAGAAGTTTGTAAAAAAGTCTTTCATTCCTTTCCTGTACAACGAAATACAAGCTCTACTAATCAAAATGGTTGAGCCATTGGATTACTCTTTTCCACTTATTCTGGTAAACAAAAGTGAGGTTCAAACGGAAAATAAAAAAAAAATTATCAGCAAGTTAACTGAGGACAGTAGGTAAAGTCAGAACCTGAAGTTCCATCATGGCAATAAATTTTTGAAGTGGAAGCTGATACTGTCTGATGTTTTGCATCAACTTCTTCTCCTGATTACAGAAATGGAAAAGGTCATGACCAAGAAAAAACAAAACATCATAATGGGACATCAGCAGCAACCTGAAGTTGTTGAGTAACAATGGAAGGTGGCAGAAGACCCCGCAAATAATGAGCATCTCTTTCCTTCTCTGTAAATGCCAACCCCTTGTTATGGTGGGGATCCCTCAGCAGTGAATAGCCACTGCATCATATCAGAGAGTGCAAAAATGATTTATGTTTAATTTTGAGAATAACATTCTTCATTTTACAGTGAATGGTAATATTCCTAGAATCCAACTCAACGGCCCCTGATCTAGAGGCCAGCTTAATAAGAATCTCGAGGAAGAATCAAAAGTCTCCTACAATGACTCTTTTTCAAGGATCGATAATATCTCACTATCACAAATCCTAGAGATAAAACGTCACAATATGAAAGGGAAAGAGAAAGCAAGTAGTTCCCGGAATTTGAAAACAGGTGGGAAAAACAGAGAAAAACAGAGTTCGTAGTAAGTGATCAGTCAAACAAAACGGTTGCATGTCTCATTAAGCACAAATTAGCAACATAAACACTCAACCAAAGTCAGCAAAAGAAAGCAATAATCACACCCAAAAATCCAATAAAGTTGAATTCACCTAGCAACTGAGAAAGTCCATGGAGTGATCAGCTGCTCCTCTGTAGCACAGTCTTCTCCATAGACATCCTCAACCCCACCGCCGACGGTGGATTTAGGGTCCAAGTCGAGCACCGAACCGCCATCTCCGATCTCCTTCAAAGTGCTCTCCATCCCGATCACTCAACCGATCGAACCCCTTCAGAGAAAGTAGCAGAAGAAGCAAGTCCACCCAAAAAACAAACGCAACACAAGAACAGAAGACTTGGGTCCCCATTAAATAATAAAAATCCATCGGTGACCACTGACGGGAAAAGGCGAAGTCAATCTTGGCGGAACCAAAATGCAGCACTACCAACAAGAAAATGGGAGAGGGTGTGGGGTCGCTGCTTCCATTATCGGGAAGAAAAAAATGATATTTAAAAACGGGTAATTAAGATTGTCCGTTTCCCCATTAAAAAAATGTTTGGATTCACAAAATGTAGTAGCGGTGATGATGGATTAGTTGTTGGGTGGGGATTAAACACCAAAAAATGTTAATATATTGCTTACAATACAGTGAAGGAAGGAATCGGCAGCATCGCAGCGCAGCAGAAGAGGAAATTTCCGAAACCATTAATCCCATTTTGGGATATTTTAGAGAAAAATCAAACAGACAGATGAATAGGGAGGAGAAGATCAAAAAATGTGGGCCTCTCGGTTTTGGATAAGCCGCCCTTATTGAACACCTGCCCGTACCTGCCCCTGCCCCTGGCCCCTGACCCCTGGCCCCTGGTTTCTCAAATATCCAATTGGAAAATCCACGTGTCTTTCTCTCACAACATTCGATATGACAAAATTACTATATTAAGTAATGTATTGTTTTTTTTTTAGGCAAATTAAGTAATGTATTGTATTTCTAGACATTGAAATATTATTTTTCAAATTTGTTATGTTTATCAAATATAATTATCTGACAACGTGAATTTAATTCTACTAAAAAAGAAAAACATTGAAATTAAATTTGACTTCTATAACTACAAGTTCAAGGTCTTGAATTCAAATCTCTTATCTAGTTAAAAAAATGATAATTATCTAATTTTAGAGGACAAGTAATTTATAAATAAACTTAAAATGAATAACAAAATTTAAATTAATTTTACTTAATGCACTTCATAATAAAATTCTTGCTTTTTTTCTTTACATTGGGTTTAGGATACAACTTGATTTCATTAATCCTTTTTATCTATTTAAAAACAAATAAAATTTATTATGATGTAGACCCCAACTTTTCTTCCTTTTTATTATAATTCAATAAATAAATTTCATTCTACATATATTAAAATTTGAAGTTTATTAAATAATAAATTTAATCCTTCCGGAACTTCAACTAATTAGCGTATATATTTAATTAATAAATATTAACTATTTTAATATTGACATTTAAATTTTGAATAATATAATTTGATTAAATAATTTTAGTATATGAATGGTAATCACTAATATTCACTCTCAAGTCAAAAAGCCCATAGTTCCTAAAAAAACAAAAGGCCTATAGATTTGGATTTGATGTATGTATTTATTATTGACGTCTCAATTATGAATTTTTTTAAATTTTGTACTCACACTTTGAACTATTTTAGATGTCTAAAATGATTTTTTTTAGAAAAAAATTGTCTAAAACGACTTTAATTACAATCGAATAAAATCTAGTATATCGATGACTTAAAATTATATAACTTTGTGTGTATGTATATTTCTTATTTCGTTTCGTTAAAAGAAACAAGTCATGATTGAAGCAACAAAATCTCTATTTAACAGTTTTAAGGTTTACTTCTATTAAATTAGATAAACCTATCAAATTACTAATACATCACAAGATATATCTATAAATGTGAAAGTGTTGACCCCAGCCAATTAAGGCATATTATTTCGATTGAAATGCTGTGAATTTGAACCTTCATCTCATATATCGTGGAAACAAAAAAAAGTATATATATATTTATATAAGAGAAATTTGATTACAATTCAATTCGTGACGATCATAAGTAGCAAGCAAATAGAGAGTTGCCCATTTGAGTCGGTCGTTCCACTTGGGATCATGTCTGTTTTAGGCTATTTTGGATGCACAATTCAACTTCGATAGTAATGTTCCATTTCAGTTGAAAAATGTAGTCAGATGTTTGGGATAATATAAGTGATCAAGGAGTAGTAACTATGGGAGGAAACTTTGTGCAGAGTTTCATTGATATATAGAAAAAGTAGGATTGAGTATTTATTGAAATAATGTTCAAAATTAATAGCCGCATGTAAGAAACCTAGGTATTTCCACAGATCGCCCGACACTTGACGAAATTGAAAGTATTAACATGTTGAAACATAACTTAGAAAATTTTCTAATGAGCTTGTAGACTTTAAAAAGTGTCTAATAGACTCTTAAACGGCTTAATAAGTTCTATAAAATGTAAAAGATATTTATTATTATTTTTTTTTGAACTAGCCTTTAAAAGATATTTATTATGTCTTTCTTGAGATTTATAGACTAATTAAACAAGTTTTTGAAAATTTAAAGACTTATTAAATGTCATATTTTTTAAAGTTTAGAATATATTAGATACACTAGGAAAATTCAATTAGAGTATAATCTATTATTATTCTTAAAATTTGATGGTTGATCTTTAATATCACAACTATTGACTAAAAAAAGAAACGAAATGAAACACAAGCTTTAAAAAAAATGAAAAGGCATGTGGTTGGCAGCTGGATGTAGAGTTCGCCGGCGGCCTGAAGCTCAATAATGCAGGCAAGGCTGCCGCCGGCGCCAGTGGACATTCAACAGTGGTTGTAATAATGGATTTTATTTATTTATTATTATTATTTTATTTATTTTTTTAAATTGTTGGTTTGGAAATTGGAATATTGGTTAGGATAATATGCAAATTGCATATTCCAATTTTTCTGGGCCCCGCCACTGAACAAAATACAAATTGACACGTCTTAATCACATGCTTAAAGCCATTAATCATGTCCCTTACCAACAACTCTTATCGATCAAATTTATGTATGTATTGATTATTTTGTGCACAAGCAAAATTAGAAACATACAATTAATAAAATTCTTGTTACATCTCTATAATAACACTATTATAAAGTTAGTTATTTAAAAATACAATATGCTTTTCATTGTTTTAGTAGATCAAGAGTGGATGGCATATTGCACATGTGAATTCAGTAATTTTTAGAATTATTTAAGGGTGTAAAAATGTCGGATTTTAGAATTTTAAAAACTCGAATATGGATATTAATCCATATCTTATGAATCAATATTGTAGCTTCTTTTTTTATTTGGAGGAATCTTACTCACCTCACATGGTCTTGCTTTAAAGAAAAGAGGTAAACCCATTGCTTGAAAAATGTCTCTTTTTCATAAAGGTTGATGGTTTGGTTTTATCCTAATGCTTGTTTGCATCAATGATTGCATAGCCTCTCTTTAGAAATCAGAAATCACTTTATTATTCTTTAAATTATTAATTGAGATGGCAAAATTTGAATTAGGATCCCTAATCCTTTGCTAATAAAGTTCACTCTACTGTTGGATTATTTAAACCAATGAGTTCAACAAATGCAAAATAGAAAAAACAGTTTATTTCTTTTTAAGCAAAATTATATAATATAGTCAACTTGAACATTTAATAGATCATACAATTGTGAACCGCCGCATGAAGTTTGTCACGATTATAGAAGTTTGCATGTGTAAAATTGCATTGATAAAATTAACTTAAACATAGTTCAACCAGTTATAAAGATATATATCATCGCTCAAAAGAATCATCAAAGGCTCAAATCCCCCAACAAAAAACAATTTATTTCCATTTGGATGGTTGAACTCACAAAATTCGTCGATGAAAAAAATCTATTTCTTCCCAATAAATGATCAAATTTTGGTTCAAATATACTTTTGATCTGATCTATGATTTTAACATGCCTAACCTTCACATAATTGTGAACAGGATCTAGAACGACCATCCCACAAACGAAAAAAATAATAATAATAATGATAATAAACAAATTCAGAATGTAGTTGGAAATCATGGTATAATAAGTGATTTTGGAAAAAAAAAAAAAGAAGAGATTTAAGTATAATTAATTTTTCAAAATCACCATCCAAATGATACGTTAAAAATCAATTTAAAATAACTTTAAACTTTCATAAAATCAATTTTTTTTAATAAGGAGAAGCAATTTTAACGGTAGCAAAAGTAATTTTAACCGTGACAAAATCATTTCTAACAGGTTCCTAAAAGATAAGCAAGGAGATGTAAAATACTTGGGTCAAATTACATTTTAATATGATCCCTAACATTGACCATACTTTACATAAGATTATTTACATCTCAGAGTATATACAGTGCATTTACATTTATAAAACTACTGATTTTAACCAAAAATCTCACGCATAACTGAAGGGAGACAAAGAAAGCTCCTTTCGGATTGTTTTCTGGCACAGAGCTTGAAGAGAGCGGAACCTGCAACTCTCCACGCAAAGCTGCAATAGCGCACACTGCCATGGCTCATGGCATGGTCATATGTGACGTGATAAATTGCAAGAGCTTCCTTGCATACTTCCTCCAACCATCTCGGGCTACCCTCGAGCTCTTCGGCACCATATAATATCTGTGCCAAAAATTATATATATATAACAAGTATCAAGAAATGTTTTTTTTCTGGTGTTGATCTAGAAAGTGAGGGATAACAGTCTAAAATATTGATTTCTGGATTCTAAAGTTACCTCCTTGTACTTTTTAATGGTTGCTTCAGCGGCTACGTTTTTGGCATCAGGATCAAGCTGCATGGCATCTTTCATCTCGGCTCGGTACATCTCATAGTGGAACTTCCACTTCATCAAGATATCATCCGGCACTTGATCTTCAAAGCAAGGAAGTTTCTGAACCTCTGAACAATGTAGTGTACATGCATTAGGAGTCGGCCCGAAGAGAGTTCGTTCTCATGTGATTTAGAGAATAAAAACACTCACCAATGTTTGGCACTTCTTCTTGATACATGTTAACGGTATCAAAAATTTGTCCAAGAATTGAAGTTGATGTATATGAATTTTTTCCCCTTTCCATGAAATGTGGCAAAGTTCCCGCCTTTAGGTGTTTTGGAACTTCTATCTATCAAAAGGAAACAAAAATGTTATTGGACACAAGGAATTATTGAGAAGGAAATCCATTACAAATTATTCAAAATGATCGTTCTTTATGTTCCACTGATGACTGATTGGATGAAATTTAAAAAAAGAGACAAGCCTTGAACCAAGTGAGGTTACAAAAAAACTCATCCAATCGGTCAAAAGAGTGTTCATATGACAGTTATATCTTATCCAACCCAAAAAGAAGAGAAAAAAATGATAGCTAGGACTAGAGAGAAAAAACAACTATGAAAGAGAGGAACAGTTATACACCAAGAGGGAAAAAAGAGTAAAAACTTTCAAAGGATCTTTCTTTACCGATGAAGGCCCTTTTGTTTCTTTTATTTCATAGAGAAGATAAGAAAGCTCTCTAATGAAGTGGAAAGTTCTATTTTCATTCTTGAAGGGGTGCCCTAATAGTGTAAAATATAGCAGGCTGTTTGGCTCCATTAGGAGAGTCGTACATGTAACCCATGGGAATCCATAGAATGTGAAGCAAAGTTGGCTCTTGGATGAACAAGAACAAGATGAAGGTTCAAAACGTGTGACCGTTCCCAATATTGTAGTCATGCAATTTCAGTTGGGACTAAGGATAGTGCAGAGTTTGAGAATAGTCTTAGGAGAGAACTAACGTCATGAATGCTTAGTAACCTTTCATAATTTCCTTTCAAAAAGTAATAGGTTTCTGTTTCTGTTTTCTTGAATTTCAAACTCAAAAAAAGATATCTATCACCCTACTTCGCTTCTCGAAACTAACAAGGATGCATAAACAGGTTACATGTACATTAGATCGAGAGGTAAGTGTTGCAATTAAAAAATGGCTAGAGTGCAGAGTAACTGCAGCTAAGTTTAAAGCAAATTCCAAATCACTTGTTATATCCTGCGAAAATCTATGTAGAACATAAACAGTAACACAATTTCATAAAGAGACAATTCATAATCAAAAGAAACCTTCAATGGAACTGACCTTTTTCCCGCCTTTTTTAGGTGCATCTAAAGCATCATAATATATATTGATCAACTGGAGAATCTTTGCCCTTACACGATTTCTTTCTTCTTTACGATCTTCACCCAGCATTAGTAATTGATCCATTAAAGCCAGCCAGTTGTCAGCTGCAACACTCTTAGCATAACTGAATGTACCCACAGAATAATCCAAATCTTCCATCAGTAAGCACAATTGATGGCAAACTTCATATCAATCAAATCATAAAAGTATGAAATAACACAAACATAAAAGAATAACCATGAAATTCTACCGGAAAAAAAGAAAGTATGCATAGATAGATACAGAATCACAAGAACTACACTCCATCACATACCTCGGCTGAAACCTAGTTGTCAAGAATAATTTAAATAGCTCATCCTCTAGGTCCTCAGCAGAAAATTCATTTGGCTTTTTATTAGTTATTCCTTCCATTGAAGGACTTGGCCTCCAAGGTTCACCTGGTCTGAAATACTCTAACAACTGAAAAAACTCCAAAAATAAACACTCAGAATAGATATGCAGTGACTCCATTAAAATGAATGTGAAATTAATTTATTTTCCAGAAATTTATAACAGGATTGCGGAGTCATGATTTCACAAATCCAAATCTTAAGTGCATGCAGACGATTCAAGATCAAAAGATCCCAAATGATGACAAACTAAACCACAAAACCGTCCATGCATAACCTTAAAAGTGTGTGTGAACATCAATCCTAATGGAAGGCACAACAGTTTTTAACTAAACCCTGAGCAGAAAACATGACGAAACGTCCCCCAACGAACAAAGCATCATGAAAACATTGTTTAAAAGTAGAAAAAATCAAATTCAAGTGATAAAACTTGTGGCCAGAAGTTTGAGGGTGCATGTGTGTTTACTTGAGAATTTCTCGAAACCCAGTACATATCACCATCAAAATCACCACCAGCTATTTCATCAGCCACGGAACGGGGACCCTTGCAAGAGAAGAATATAGCATATTTTGCATTTCCCACTACAGGTACCAATTCCTCCACATATTTAGCCGTTAAAACATGGATATCACCAAAATGTAGTCCAGGATTGCGATAAACAAGAACCTTCCCGTTGATTTGTCCATTCTCACTATTTGGAGAGGGCAAAAAACATGTTAATAGCTACATGACGAAAAAATCAAAGACCACACAACAATAAAGCAGGGTTCTCAAGTCAAACAAGTAAATTATGAGTTATAATTATACCCTATTTATTGGATGTCAGCTCGTCAATTGATTGAATAGTACTGAGATAATATGATATATAAACTCAAGTAAGATTGTTAAAATCTTTTGAACATCGTGAAAAAGTGAAGCACGGGTCTACTGTTCTCAGAACCGTAAAAATCTGTTCTTCTGAACTTGTATATTTATCGCATTCCATTTTTAACCGTCAGAAATAAAGCTGAATAGTTGGTGAATGAAATGTAATTCCTGCCACTAAGTGCTCCCATGCAAACAAGTAAAACTAATTGACAAATCATGTATGTAATACATACAGGATAACACAGACTTCATCGCTTTCAAGAGTACAGGTAGGATCAGCTGTCCCCATTAAATAATAACATCCAGGCACGTGAAGCCTTCCACTTTTCAAGCTCTTTTTCTCCTCCCTCAGCAGCATAGACAATCGATATTGCAAATATGATTCATCAAGAGGAATTCCAGATAAAATCATTCTTGCAACTAGGAAGTCATCCAAATCGCCGTTGTTAATGGAAACTGTAAGAGAACCGAGAGAGTAACATAAAATGAGTAACAGTAATTTCAAAGAGAAGAAAAGAAACCAGCACAATAAAACTTATACCTCTTAAAGCTGCACGCTTACTAGAGAAAACACCCTGAACATCGCTCAAAGCATCCACAAGGATATTCATGAAATACTCTCTTGGGACACCTCCATAGTTCAGAAGTGCTATTAAGTTTCTTGAAAGAAATGTCTTCTTTGGATGATTACTGAGAGTGAGAGATGATTAGAGAAAAGAAACTGCAGTGTTATTCAGAAATTCTTTGAAGGTAAATTATAATTACAAGAAAAAGGCCATTGTACGGAGTGAGATGATTAGAGAAAGGAAACTGCCATGCTATTCAGAATCTTTGAAGGTAAATTATAATTACAAGTAAAAGGCCATTGTACGGGAAATTGGAATAGAAACTTTAAGGTGATTAGCAACTACCATTGGTTGTTATGCCCAACATAAAAGCCCTGGTAGCATATTGCTAAAATAAATTTCAAATTGCATTTTCTATTTCTTTTCTTTTTTATGATCAACAGACATAAATCTCCTATTTACACTGGTACAAAGATAATGGGAAAAGGCTAAGCAAGAAATATGCTCGATTATAAGGCTGCAACCAGCAGGATTACGAAATATAATGCAACTCTCTCTCAAAGTTAATACAGCACGATTGGTAAATATTCCAAGGATTCTATACCCCCTCCTCCGGTTCAAGATCTTTTCATCCAAAACAAGATTTAAGAACAATCATGAATTCAGCATCCCATTTCGCCCCAAGTATGGACATAAGGAAAATTGACAAGGAAATCGACATTGAACTCCTATAGGATGCCATGCGCAAGATGCATAAAAACAAACATCAGATGTTAGATACCTGGTCCCTACTACCTCCATTGAATTCTCTGTTTTGGCATTTTCAAGATTTGGATCTATTTCAACTTTAATCATAGAATTGCGGATTTGAATTGTTCTAGAAGGAAGCTGCAAATTTAAGTTAACGAACTATGAGTAACATAAAACAGTAGAAATAAAGATTGCAGAGAAGAGACATTTATTCCATAAGAAAATTGCAGCTATACTGCAAATAGAATGTAAACTAATAAAATCATATAGTAATCAGATTTCACGTTATGATATTGGTAATAACTCTGCTGTAGAGTTAAACTACAGCCCAAGACAAATGGAGATAATAATTAAATAAATACATGAAGGCCCTTCTCTTTATCTGTATTGAGACGGAAAAAAATCCAGATAAGGAAATACTGACGTTGCATTAAATATATCATGGTTTTAAAAAAAAAAAAAACTGAATTTTTCATTAGTCGGCAAAACCAATACCCATTGCAAAACTGCTATCCACTAACTGTACAGTGTTCTATAATCCAAGTATTTAACCATATGTCCACCCTTGAGCCATCCCCAACTCTCAGGGTAAGCCCTTACGACCAATCATCATTTAACAATGAACTTGATAGGATTCCCTATCAAGAACAACTTTAACAACACAAGGCAAATCAACTTAAGGATGACCTATTCTAGAGGCCATCTAACTCTCCACACTTCTTTAAGAAAACACACCAAAATACACAAGATAATCTCGTGTGTACCAAAAGCAACATAATAAAGAAATACCAACAAAAACCATAAACTGCCTAAGGAAGTTGTAACTTCCCCGATACAAAAAAAACAAAATAAAACAGTTAACTCGAAACAAGGTGTCCTCCACAATTCCTGTTTTGCCCTTCCTTACATAAACCTTTCTAATTGGAGGTCTAACAGAACTTTAGGGGCTTCTTCCATTTATCCTAATATTTTATAGCAAAGTATCCATCTTTTCTCAGAGCAAATTACTGTCAATGTTAGAGTGCCACAGAAAGGCCAAGTTATATGTGTAAACATTTAAACCTCCAATTATCTATATGTGTAAACATTTAAACCTCTAATTTTTAGAGAGATAAGTAATGGCTTGACTAGTTGAACTACATGTCTGGCAAGTATTGAAATTATGTTAATACATAAAAGTAACCGTATATATGATATGTAGAATTAAAAGCATCATGTTCACTTATTCTGGGTACTGAAATGTATTACCATACTAGATGGAGAAAAATTAAGAACCTAAATCAAGGGCAATATATATGAGGTCAATAACCTACAAGCGCAGCTTGTCACTAAGGAGTAATAATCACTACAGATTTCATGACCAAGATGAATGCCAAATAACTCTTCTCGAACTAGAAAAATATACCTGTTTATTAATTAGAAATGTTCCTTTAACAGCACGACCGTTGTAAAAAAGTCGGAACTGAATTAGCAAGGGCTTCCAATGAAAAGAGAATTAAATAAAAGTGAGTGTATGGATAAATATAAACTTCACACAACCAATAGAAACTCAAAGAGATAAAATCTAGATACACATACTGGTTCCCGCAGTTCAAGTCCTGGCAGTGTCAGTTGTAAAGTCTTATTCTGGAACTCTTCAAAGGCGGAAAATCTCTATTATGTGAAGGTGATATAGCATGCACAAGAAACATCAAACAAATTAACATGATTTTAGAAAGATATAACCATTAAAAAATTTGAGAATAAAAAAATAAATTTAAAACCGTTATGCAAAGAAGACAAGGTAGCAAAAGGAGATGACAAATATCCAAGAAACCAACTAGACTCCTGTGCATGTGCATTATTTACATAAATAAGCTGAGTTATTTAAATACTTATGGAGTTATTCTTTATAGGAATAAAACTTCATACTGGGGAAAAAATGAAACAGAATAAAGGGAGAGTGTTAACATACCTCAAGGTCAGTTGTTGACTTTGATACCTGATCATTCCTAACCAAGTTTGTTTGTAATTTTTTTGTTTTTTGTGAAAGTTAGTTGGTAATATAGATGAATTTTAAATATTATTGACAAAATACTGATTAAGACTTCTAGTTGGAAATTTATGTTTCATGTAATTACAACTCTATCCATTGTGCTGGAGTGGAGAAAAACTGATTGACATTTTGATCGGTCCTCAAGCCTCAAGTTTTGCTTTCATGCAGAGAAGGTACTGTTTATATGCGTTTAGGTACTAATTCGCTCTTTAATATGTAACTGATACTTGTTGTCCACTAATCTACGTCAACATCCAAACATTTAGTACATGGAGCTTTTGAACTCAAAATATAATCAAGTGAAAACGCATTCTTCATCATTACAACTAGATGAATTCTTTAGAACATCAGTAAGTTAACCATAACAATAGTCACAGCTTCAGAATTCTTTAGAATAATTGACAGCTATGCTATTTATACAGATATAAGATATTAATTTACTAACATGAAATCTCAAACCTTAAGGTTGGTATCATGCTTTGCCTGCCCTTTAAATACATTCATAGGGCACTCCAAAGCCAAGTCCTCCGATATAAATCCTGTTCCATCTGTATGTATAAGAGGTTTTCCATCTCTATAGATGACATTACCATAGACATCCTACAGCTTAGGATAAACCAAAAATAAGTAGATATAAATAGAATGTGCAGCAAAAAAGTCGATTTATTATAACTTTGAGAAAGATGGAGTAAGAGGGATTTATATTTTTGCAATTCTACCCCCTTCCCCTCCACCACAAGGCGCAGTAGTAGTAGTTGAATGTCATACTTTGCACGGTATATCCCCAATTCTTTGAACATTAACTGTAGATAAATCAATTTTGAGGTTTATGCTCTTTGACAGAATGAGTGAAAACCTACATAACAAATATAAATACTCATTGAGAACATTCAGGGCGATGACATAGAAGTTGCTATGTAAAATAAATGCATTCTCTATCACCAGCATACCTAGCCATGTAGCTTGCTACACTAGACACCATATGTGCATGCATGAAAAGACTCCTAGCTTCAAAAAGAGTTTTATTTGATAATTTATAAGGTCTAATCTTATCAAGATATGCATCTGACTCCATTCGGACAAAGTAACACTTCACTGCTGATGCGGTTGGATTCTTCTTTTTTTCCTCCTTGCCACCATCTTTGAAAACTGTTCCATACACATAACAATAGTGACAAAGGACAGCCAATCATGCATAGACGAAAACAGAAGAAATGACCAAAAAGCCAGTAATGGCAAAAAAAAAAGTATCTTAAAACTTGAATCCTAATCATTTGTCTTCTGAGAATATCCCTTGCAGCTAAGAAACCATACAAACCATAAAGATACATAATAACTGAAAGGCAATAAGCTCAAAGACCTTGAATCATTCAACTAATGAGGTGAAGTCCGTATATTGAATTTTGGATGACATAGTTAAGGAATAATGTATTTGCATAAAAATAACAGAAATAAAATTAAGGAACTTATAAAATAAATAAGATTTCATTGCCAAAGCAATATATGAACTAGCATGTGCAATAAAAATAAAAGAAATAAATTTAAGGAACTTAAAAAATAAATAAGATTCCATTGCCAAAGCAATATATGAATTAGAATGTGCAATAACAGAAGAAAATGACAAACAACAAAATTTAAGAGATGGGATATTAACTTTGAGCTAAGAGGATATCT